GTCTAATAATATATTATTATGTGCTAGGCATTGTGGATGATGCATTGTTGAACGTCTGGATTTTGTTGCCTTCCTTTAAATAATGTTGGGTTTTGTCTGGAAGGCAGTGAACTTCCTTGCGGATCAGCTTGATCCTTTGAAGCTTTTAAAAATATTTGTGGGGTTAGGTCTAGTATATTCTTAACTCTAGGATGATAGTAACCCTTCCCCTAATGCACAGTCTTTCTTGTGTCGGCTGAATGCCCAGGATTATTAAAGTGGTCTCTGCATTTACACATACAATAATCTCTCTCAGTTTTGCTTAAGTTCTAGAGTCTCAATTTGGCTCATAGTTCCACAGTATTTGTACTTGGCCTCCCTTTGTGGGTTCTTGCCCTGTGCACATGCCGCTTGGTATTCAGTTCAAGATTTGGAGAGATTCCTATGCAGGTTTCCATCTTTCTAGAACTCTGCCCTATAAGTTACAGCCGTGATATCAGCCCTAACTCCAATCCCATGACATCTGCTCAGTGAAATTGCCATTCTCTGCTTCAGTTTTCCCTCCCTGGGCCATGATGTCGAAAGAGCTTCAAAGCAAAAATAAAACAAAACAAAACCCAGGACAATCAAAGGGTTCAACTCATGCATTTGAAGGACAGGCTATTAGGTAGGCAAGTTTCCCACCACACTGTGTCACGCACATTAGACACATTATTTAAACATATTTTTTAAGAAGCAGCCATAAAATTGCTTGTACAAAACCTTTTTGCAAGCTACATGAGGTGCAGATCTCTGCCCTTTTCACCCCAGCTGTTGTGGAAGGTTCACATGCGTCAGGCGGGATGCTAATCTAGATGCAGCATCAAGAAATCAAATCTCTAGTATCATCTTACGAGTACATGCTCCAGGCTTCATTAGACTTCACGTTCTTCATACAAGGACAGAGAGCTGTCTCTTCAGGCCTCTGGCTGAGATATATATCTTGAATACCACTGATTTACCCAGTGAGAACCCATTTATAGCATCTAATGTGTTCATTTAAAACCTATTATTTTGTCAGTGAAAACACATTTCTGATGTTTGTTTTGTTAATGAGCAAAGGCTCTTCCACTTAAGGACTGTCAGTACTTCTGGAATTGGGTCTTTATGATTCAAAGCAAGTGCCTCTGGTGTATACACTTCTCATTTGGGCAGCAGTCTTCACCTAACAGGAGCTTAAGCTAACACAGGCAACGTATTGCACTGTCGATGTGACAGTGTTTGAATTTCCCTTAATTTTCTCCGTAACGAAGAGGTGGTGTCAGAAGCATCTAAAATATGTGCCCTTCTAGCATCATGGACTGTGGGCCAAAGGGGAACAGAAGAATCTGGAAATCTTCTCTCACAAGATATCCCTTCAAAATCTGATTTTTCTTATTAGACCAGCATTACCTCAATCTTTCTCCATCTCTCCTGAGCTGATGAGCCTAAATGTCTCAGGGTTACATGCCGGGGGAGTTGGAGGAGGCTTCTACATCCTGTGTGTCAGAGTAGGTTATGAGGCCATCCCAGATTCAAGGGGTTATGGAAGTGAATTTGATGGGAAGAGACTTCATGGCTACATTTCAGCTACCACAAGACAAGTGCCCTGAAGACAAAGAACAGCATACTGCAGAAGTGTCTGAAGGATGATCAGAGTCTCATTGACTGAAGGCTTAACGCTACCCCCAAAAAGTGATGTATCTCAAGATGTATATCAAGGATAAGGGGGTGTTTACTAGAAGAAGGCTAGTGTTTAGACAGTAGGACCATTGCGTGCAGGCTTTCATAAACATAAAGAATGCAAGGAAGCCTTCCTTTGCCAAGGACACCAGTCTGGAAATCTCATGGGATTATGAAAGGGTACTTCTTGGTCAGTAAGTATGGTGAGGTGAACACTGAACTGAGCCTTCTAAGCAACAGCGGTCCCTCCCAGCCCAGTGACTCAGTAGTTGCATCCTCTAATTGGAAAATGGTAGAATAAAAAGGCCATGGAATCATCTAGTGCTACATTTCCCAGAAGGTTTTCTTAACACTGTCAATGAAGTGGTCCGATAGTTTGAAATGTTTGGGAAACACCAGTTCAATGAGTTTATCATTGAACTTCTAGGTGACATGAATAAGCCAACATGTATTCAAGTCAATGGTGTGCTGGTAAATGCTTGACAACACGCTGAGAAAATATGTAGCCCTGATTTTGAGCACATGCCAATGTCTGGAGTTTATGCTCCCACTGTAACTGATGTGAAGCTACCAGTATGACATCACTGAATATACATCTGGTTTAGAGAAGTTTTGAAAACCTCACCACCAGCTCCAGCACACTCCTGGTGAGACTCTCTAAGATGGAGGGAAGGAAGCTTTGCCCAAGACCTCGTGGCCATGGCTCCCTTCCTCAGGGACATCTAAAGGGATGAATCCTCCTTAGATGCACTTTCAGAAACTCTGGTGTGGTTATTCCATAAACGGGGAAAATGACCAGCCTAGTATCCTGACCAAGAACTCAGATCCAAACACAGATGAAGCTCTTCTGAGCTTCCATCCTGTAGCAAAAATTTTAATGTTCCTCCTTCGTTCAAGTATCCTAGATTCACAACTGCCATTTACTTGCCATGAACCGCGTTGTGGACTCTGCTCAGTGCTTCTGACTCATTGTGAGATGTGTAACATGATGTTATACATCATTGTCCCCATCTTACAGATGTGAACACTGAAGTGCAGAGATAGCAAATAACTCTGTGAAATGAGGCAAAGGCATTGTTTGCTACCAGATACCCTGCTCTCAATAAGACATGCTGTGCCATATTGTTCCCTACCATGGCCAGATGTGATAGCACAAGAATAAGGCTTGTCGTCTTCCTTTCTCAGCAAGGAGAGTGTTAGCTTGTGTGTGCCACCTTTCTTGCCCCTATTCTTTAGCCAGAACATCTCCACTGGTCAGCTTTGGACAGTGGACATACCAGCAGCCCGAACACCCCACCAGCATTTACTGGTGGGTGATGTAATGGACTGAATGTTTGTATGTTGAATCCCTAACCCCTACTGGGGTGGTGTTTGGATAGGAGCCTTTGGGAAGCAATTAGGTATAGGTAAGGCCATGGGATGGAGCTCTCATGATGGAATTAGTGCCCTTATAAGAAAAGTCACCAGAGAGGTCACTGCTTTCTCTGTGTGCACATAAGGAGGTCATGTGAGCACATGGTGAGAGGTGGCTGTCCACAAGTTAAGAGAAGAGGCATCAGAATGAAACCTACCTTGTCGGCACCTTGCTCTGATTTCCATATGTGTGAAAAATACATTTCTGTTGCTTACATCACCCAGTCTATGGTATTCTGTCTTAGCCGTCCAAGCAGACTTAGCATCAGCCTGTGAAATACTGAGTTCCAGGGCTGGAGCACGCAGTGGGGGAGGTTAATTAGTTCGACAGTCAAAGAATTCATGACCTTGCTTCTTGAAGCCCACTTGGTAGTGGTAGTTATAATAGCTCTCTATAAACTCTTTTACATCTATGATGCTATTTGATCCTCAGAGGACTCTGTGAATGTTTCCTGTTTCAGAGAGGTCTGACTTTGTCCAGGGTCACACAGCTCCAAGGTCAGGAGCACTGAATCATCTTCTGCCCCTGTGTCCTTCCCAGTACATCAAGTTGATTTATGCTTAACTGTTAGAGTAAAGCTAAGCCATTAGTTCTTCCTGAATCCAAACGTGAAAGGCATTAGAGAAAGGCCTTCAAGATTTAAAAAAAAAAATGTGGCATTTTCAGAAAAATGAATGCGAGTTCAAACAGAAGCAGTAACATTCATTTACATGTCGTTGTTGCAAGAACTCAGAATGAGGGCCAACTTGAATTAACACAATGGACCCTTATGTCGTGCTTCCTAGATGTTGGACACTTTTGAAGAGTTTGACATGTATTAATTTATTTAACCCTCACAATAATAACCCTAGGACATAGCTATTATGATGATGATGCCATTTTCCATATTAGCAAGGGGTAGTGTAGGGAGAAAAAGCTTAGTTCTGACTCAAGGTGTCTGTAACTGTCGGTGACTGGGGAGGGTGTGTGTGTGTGAATAGAAGGTGGAGGTGAGAAGGGGGTGATTCCCAGTTACAGGGCATCATGCTCTGCTTTCTGCTTCCCACTTTCCCTCGGCAGCACAGCTGGAGCGCCTCTAACCCACGCCTGTGTACAAGCAGCCCGATTTCTTCTTGTAACCCCCTTCCATTCCTCACTCTGAACTTAAAACATTGAGAAATTCTGTTAAAATGCAAATCTTGCCCCGGAGGGGAAACACATTCAACCACTATTTTCCATTTACACTGTTTTTGTGAATTCATTTTCTTGATTGGTTTTTGATTCATTGAAAAAGCCCACCCAGACTGCAGATCTGGGGGATTTTTTAAAATTTCAGTGGTTGTTTTGGGGAATGGGAAGGTCCAGATGGGAGACTGTCCTAAGGACGCAGAGCAGTGACTGACCGAGGTGACTCCGTCTCCAGCTAGCATCACCACCATGCTAGGCACCAGCCTCCTCTCTTTAACGTTCTCAGCAGCCTTGAGCTGTAAGGTAAATATCATTACACCCATGTTGCAGATGAGAGAACTGAGGTTTGGGGAGGTTAAGTGATCGCTTAAGGAATAAACTAGTAAATGCTGAGGAGGGAGAGCCCAGCTATAACACTGTGACTCTGAGGCCTCTGGCAAGCTGGAAAACCCCCGAAAAGTGCTAAACATCTAAGGCGTGTCTGAGTGTGAAGCAAGATGGCAGGAAGCTAGTTATTGTGACAAGGGGACATTCAAAGGAGTATCAACGAAGAGGGAGGGGCTCTGGCCACCCTTTCCCTCCTGCTCCACCTCCATACTCCATTCTGTGGGGGCCTTGTGAGACCAGCGGGCATTCCCCCTCCCCCACCTTCTGGTACATTCTACAGCTGCCCTGGAGACCGGACTGCTTCAACAGAGCCCCCAGGGCTCACCGGGGGGGGGTGGGGGGGGGAGTCAGTCCCTGCCAGGAGGTGGGAACCACTCCCTGATCCTGCCTCCCACGGCTTTCCTGGCCTAGGCTTACTGCCGTTTCCTGTGTCAGTTTGTCACCTTCGGCCAGGAAGGTGCCTGGGACAGGTGTGAGGCCTGCAGGCTATGAAGGGAGGGGGAGCTCCCTCAGAACCCCAGCAGGCCTGGGTCCTGGCTCCCCACCCTCTCAGGAGACCATCCCTCCAGCCTCCTCCCCAGGGTGAGACCTGGGAACCCTCTCTTGATCACCTTCCTTCTCCACGCCAAGGAAGGATAGAGGCTCGGTCACTTCCAGCTTAGCGACTCTGAGCAGATGGCTTAGCGCCCTTGACTTGCACATGCGTAAAATGGGGATGGGGAGGGTGCCTGCCTCGCCGGGCGGCTGTAGGGATCAACTGCGTTAATCCACACAGTGTGTGACCTGTATGTGGCCCAGGGCACATGCCCTCCAACACCCTCTGCTCCCGATGGTGGCGGTATCCTCTATAACTGAGGAGTGATCCCCGGCACAGTAAGTTTGGGCTACGCACCATATTTTAACATAGTTTTTGCTTTTCTTTACATAGATGCACACACGCACGCACGCACGCGCACCACTTCGCGGCCCCGAGTGCAGCCCCAGCAGATGGGAACTCCATTCAGCTCGCAACTGGGCCCCCCTCACTGGTCGGCCTTGAGCAGGCTGCCCCTTCTCTCCGGGCCTGGTGCGGTCTACGACTCAGGGCACCCTGCGGCCAGCTGTCCGGCATCACAGGCCGAAGGGCTCCGGCGAATTCTGATGGCAGACAGGTCCTTGGGGTGCCGCTGGGCTTTGAAAACACGGTAGGGTCACCCTGAAGTCCAGGTATGTGGTTCCCTCAGCCCTTGCCGAGAGGGCACCCCCAGTCCCTTGGAGCCTGGAGGGATCTTGGGCGGCGTCCATTACCGCCTGGCCCCAGGAGGCGCCTGACTTTGCAAACCTCTGAACCCACCAATTCTCAAGTCTCTTCCGGCTGGAAAAGTCAGCGCTGAAAGCTCAGGTTTGGCAGGCCCCAGAAGGATCCCTCCGCAGAGTGTTAAGTGGCTGCTTTCGAAAGGACAAAGCAAGAGACGGCGATAAGATAAGGAGCTCCGTTTTCAGCAGACACTCCCCGCAAAGAACAGGCTTTTGTTGTGACCCAGAGGATAAGAGCCTGAGCCTCAAGAGCCTGCGCCTGGATTTCATGATTTCATCAGGCCGGCCCTCCTCCCCGTGGCCAAGGCTCCTGGCTGCCGGGATGTGTCTGCCGCTGCTGCCACCTGCTGGAGCCCGGAGTCACTGCAGTCCGCCTGCGGCGTTGGCGCAGACAAGTCCTCCAAGCCTGGAAATCCAGCTCGCGGCCTCAGGGGCCTTCGCCTTTGCAGTTGCTGGTATTTCTTGAGCACCTACTGTGGGTCAGGCACTGAGCTGAGAACTTCCTTGAGTTGTCTCGTCGAATCCATTCACTACAATGGAAGCCCACCCAGGCAGGAAGTGAATCTGTCCCTTTTTCACGACAGTATTTCTAAAAGCCCAGGTCGGTGCGCGGCCCAGAGGAAGAACTTGGTAAATACGCACTGCATGAGAACAACCGTGAAGACAGATTGTGTTATTACTCAGGTTTTATAGAAGAGGAAGTGGACGCTTGGCGACACAAAAGCTCAAAGTATTGTGGGTAAAGTGGTGAGGGAATCTGGAAAGATTCTTGCCATAGGCAGAGTTTGTTACCTGGGGTGATTTTTTTTTTTTCAAGTTTATGTATCTATTTTTGAGAGAGAGAGATAGCAGGAGAGGGGCAGAGAGAGAGGGAGAGAGAATCCCAAGCAGGCTTCCCACTATCAGTGTAGATAGAGCCTGATGTGGGGCTCGAACCCACCAACAGTGAGATCAGGACCTGAGCCGAAATCGAGAGTCGGAGGCTTAACCGACTGAGCCACCCAGGCGCCCCTGTTACCTGGGGTGATTTTGAAGGCACAAAGTCAGGCAGCACTAGGCTCAGGCAGCCAGGGTTTGGGGGGGCCATGGTGCTTTTGAAAAAGTCAGGGCTGCAAGTCATCAGGGAAACCGGCCACAACAGAATGTTGCCGTGGGGCCTGGTGGCCTTGAGGCGCAAGCAGGGCTCTGGCCACGGCAAAAGGGCCCTGACAAGATGGTTTGTGCTTTTTCTTTTTAAGAGCAATTTTAGGTCTACAGAATAACTGATTGGAGGGTACAGAGAGTTCCCATCTGTCTTCTTACACCCAACCCCCTTCCCCAGTTATTATTATTAAAGCCTCCGCCCCACTAGTAACCTTTTGCATTAGTGCGGTGCCTTTGTTATGGTTGGAGGGGCCAATACTGATATATTATTATTAGCTGAAGTGCGTAGTAGTTTATGGGAGGGTTCCCTCTTGGTGTCTTCCATTCTCCCTGCTCTGACAAATGTGTAATGACTTGTTTCCATGTTGGCAGTATCGTCCAGAAAAGTTTCACTGCCCTGAGAATCCTCAGGACTCCACCCTCTCCTGCCTTCCTCTGACTCCCTAGACCCCTGGCAACCACTGATCTTCTTTACCCTCTCTGTAATTTTGCCTTGTCCACCATGTTAGGTCGTTAGGGACTCAAGCGTGCATTTTTCGAATTGACTTTTTCACCTAGGATTATGCCTTTAAGATTCCTCTATGTCTTTTCAAGCTTCACGGCTCTTTTTATCACTGCATAATATTCCATTGAATGGACGTACCACAGTTTGTCTCTCCATTCACCTGTTGACGGACATTTTTGGTGCTTCCGCGTTTTGGCAATGATGACTAAAGCTACTGTAAACGTTAGGGAACACGTTTTGTATGAACATACGTTTTCAACAAATTGGGAAAATACCAAGGAGCGCAACTGCTGACTCATATGGCACATTTTGTGAGAAATTGCCCAACTGTCTTTCAAAGCACCTGTCCCTGTTTTGTACTTGTGAGCATTGCTGTGAGTGACAAGCATGCTGGCCTGCATTTTCCCCTTCTCTGGGTTGGCAAGACTGAGAAAAGACAGGCCTACATCTTCTCCCTTCCTGTCTGCATCCACCTCCCTTGCTGAGCCAAACCCACTTCCTCTGCTAAAAAGTAAAGAGAACAGAGGCCCTTCTTTTTCATCTGGCAAAGAGGGACACATTTCAGACAAGGTGTGCTCCTGTAGCAGCTCTGGTCGCTTGAAATCCCCAACCCATTCCCCTGGGCAGGAGGCAGGTAGGCAGGGCTTCCCCCTCTGGAAGGTCAGCCTGTGGCTTTGGGTTCAGAATTCTTGGCTTGAGCACACCCATGTGAGCTGGAGAAGACAGTTGCTGGTTGGTTTGTTTGTTTTAATTTTTTTAATTTTTTATTTAAAAAAAGTTTTTAATGTTTTATTTATTTATGAGATAGAGAGAGAGACAACGTGAGCAGGGGAGGGTCAGAGAGAGAGGGAGACACAGAATCTGAAACAGGCTCCAGGCTCTGAGCTGGCTGTCAGCACAAAGCCCGATGTGGGGCTCGAACCCACAAACCATGAGATCATGACCTGAGCCGAAGTCAGATGCTTAACTGACTGAGCCACCCAGGCGCCCTGAACAGTTGCTGTTTTGATATGAGGAGCTTTGGGGCCTCTGTTCATGAAACTCTTATGAAGCTGGTGCCTTGCACACCCAGCTCCTGCTCACTTTCCACTCTTTCTAAAATGTTGCCAAGTCAGAGAGCTGTTTAGTTCACATCATCTCAAAACTTAAAGTCGTTGGAATGTCCTGGAAATAATAGAACTATATGCAAGCTGGGAGTTTATTTCACTTTTCCTATCTCTTTTTAAGAATGTCATGAAAAACTAGATATGGCCCTTCAAAGTAACTTTAAAAACAAATTTGAGGGGCACCTGGGTGGCTCAGTCGGCTAAGCATCCGATTTCGGCTCAGGTCATGATCTCATGGCTCATGGGTTCATACCCCACACTGGCCTCTATGCTGGCAGATTCTGTGTCTGCTTCAGATTCTGTGCCTCCCTCTTTCTCTGCCCGTCCCTGGCTTGTGCTCTGTCTCTCAGAAATGAATAAATGTTAAAAATAAATAAATAAAAGAACAGACAAATTTCAAACTAAGTTAGGCCAACATCAAACTGGAAGTGTAGTAAAGAGAGGGAGATTTTTTTCAGTCATGTTTTTGACACTCTTTCCCAGAATTCAAAATTCCGTGTTTGGTTAATCTTTGCAATTGTATCTCCTTTCCTGCCCGTACCTTCCCAACCAGCAACAACAACTGAATTCTTAGTCTTCCACTAATAACTCAGAGCAACTCATTTAATCATGGATTCATTTTTTAAGGCTCTTGCTCATTGGTGACTGTGTAGGAAAACTCAAGGAATCTCATTTGAACTGCCTCAATCTCTAAAGAGGAAAAAAAGTTTTAGCGCTGCTGGTAGGAGAGGCTTTATTTATGTGTCTCAATTTACAAGCCTAAGCACTGCAAATGTAAACTCTCTGAAGGAAAATTTTGTCCTAATTACTTAACTGAATCCAGAAGCATCTGCTTTGATTTACGGTAAGTCCAGTTGGGTCTTAATCTGGCATTTTAGGGCATGCTGAGGTAACTTAACAACTAGTACCTTTCTGCTCCAATCAAGTGTTTCTCAAAGGGTAAGAATAGGGTGAAGTCCAGAATAAACAATGTTGAAAACTGCTCCAGATGATTCTTATAAAAACTAAAGTTTGAAAATCACTGCTCAAGGCAATACTTACTTCTTTTTATTTTATTTTATTTTTTCCCTTTCAGCTTTACCTACAAAATAACACGTTCTGGAGAAGCTTCTTCTTCCTGATATGTCTTCTTGTCTCACTGGAAGCATTTTTTTTTTTAATGTTTTATTTATTTCTAGGCGAGAGAGAGAGACAGCATGAGAAGGGAAGGGTCAGAGAGAGAGGGAGACACAGACTCTGAAACAGGCTCCAGGCCCTGAAGCTGGCAGTCAGCACAGAGCCCGACGCGGGGCTCGAACCCACGAACCGCGAGATCATGACCCAAGCGAAAGTTGGACGCTTAACCGACTAAGCCACCCAGGCGCCCCTCACTGGAAGCATTTTAACTTAAGTTTCTTAAAATTTTACTTTCTAAATGAAA